AAACTACTTATAGTCACAAATAGTTTATTTATAAATTTACACAATTTATACAATATATTTGCCCAATTGAGTGTTATCAATATACACTGCAACGAGACCATTTTTCCTCAGAGGAGCTTGAGTAAGGAATGAAAATCTGAGGTCAACCAGAACTAGCTGCCCTTTTAAGTTCTATCATCATATTTGCCTACTAGGAAGTACTGTATTAGATACATCTATTTTCACTTTTCCGAGACACGTGGCAAATCTTCCACTTTCTCCTAATTCTTACGAAATTCCAGGATTCCTCTCAACCCCTACCGAGCTCGATGCTGTCGTACGCCCATGGTATTACAAACGACCTCTTCCTTCAAACCACTCATTCCGGATCGTTTCCTCGTAGATCAATACGCGTCTCTCTGATCAGTCTCTTTTCTCTCTTCTCTTTCCTCTTGTCGTTTATTTTAGGTGGCTCAAGAAGTCCACCATGTGGCGGGAGCCTTAATTATGATTAAGTACTAGATGAATGAAAATTATAGAGATGCAGGAGAACTCATTCGCTTGTAGCTTGGAGGGAATGTTGAAGGATTTATAATGTTTTTACTCGTTCGTCGTCCTTCAGTAAACCGTTTTAAGCCACTCTTTGTATCTCATCTATCGATTTAATTAATTTTTTTTAATATAGTCTAATATAATCCAAACTAATTCAAAGCGACCCGAACCAAAAATTACAGTATTTTTGGATAAAAAAATTGCGAATTATTCTATTTTAAAGAGTTTTCGTTGTCTCCATAACCTTAGTCTAAATATTCTAATACTTCTCGGATGCGACTTTTACGAGTTCAAACAATAGCGAACGAGCAAATTTGAGTGCTAAAATCTAATATCTTATTATGCCGATGGAAATTCTAATCGAATTACAGTAATACAAATACCTAACTAGGTCTTTGTATTACTGTAATTCTGTGATTTGGCTTCTCCAGGAATTTTAATACTCTACTTGATCGTTTACTTCAATTTCTATAATCATCAAAATGCTAATCAATTTGTTCTCGAATACTCGGTACAAGTTAGTTACTAACTACTTCGTGTAAGGCAAATTGACATCACTATGTTACCTTATTTTTATTATTATCAACGAATTGCATTCGTTGCTTATTCTCGAAAATCAGAAAATTATTCTATTCTTGAAAGTTCTCGATTTTTAAAAGTATTCTATATTCTGCCCCTTGTTAATTTCAACAAGAACCAATATTTAATATTAACAAAAGCTTTGGTCTGTGTGTCCCTATTTCACGTGACTGTTTTACTGACAGTATTTAAATCTGTAATTGGAATACGATTTGTCATTCTCTGGTGGCATGGTCGTCGAGAAGGGAGGAGCTGGAAATATTTTTTCGTCCCAGAAAAAACTTGGAGAATCGTAATGCTTACTACTCCTATAAATTGATGGCCGGAAGGCAGATCGGTTAAGGTGGCAGCCTAGCATTCTGGAAACCCGGGATCGAATCCAGACATGTCAAAAAATACCAGGAACTTTTCGGGGGATGGTCCATCCGGATATGTTAGGTCACGTCCCTCACTATCCGGCTGTCCCATTATGGGTCTGACCGAATTCATAATAGGCTTGCTAAAAAGAGGCGCTCTTAGTTCCCATAAAGCAAAAAGAGTTTTAAAAAGCCGTATAAGTTAATGTCTTTTTTATTAACGTAAAATAAAATTTTTAAGTTTGCATTAAAAAAACATTCTGCACATTTCATTAGTTCAAAAACAAAAAGAAAGAAAAAAGACAAAACAAGGCCTACTAAAAGGTTAAAACTGGCCCGCTCTATCTCGGTCGCGTACATATTTGTCTACAAGTGAAATTTTAATTTTCCTCTTTATCTAGGTTAAGTTACGCTCTTTGTATCCTTAAGTCTTTTCCATTCCCGCGTTTAACATGTTTCCAGCTTACATTAAATTTTAACATAAAAAATTGCTCTGTTCGAAGAATGTTTTCTGTTTTTCTCAGGTCCGTTCTGGACAGAGTTTACTATATATAAATTTAAATATATAGTAGAAATTTCATTAAGTAATGAATTCATGTTATATTCATTTAAAAATTCAATTAGTCATTTATAGGAATAATGGAGTCGGTTTTAGTAGGATTTATGGAGTCGATAGGAATATAATATACGAATAATAAACTTGATTTTAGTTAATCTGTGAATAATGCCACGAGCATTATTCACAGATTAACTAAAATCGACTTTATTTAGGAGTACTCATTACATTATACCTTTAAAATTTCACACATAAACTGTCAATTATACGTTTTTTGAACCATGATTGTAATTAATATCATACTAAAGTGAATTTCTTTACAAAAAAAACTGAAACTACAAAGCGATTGTTTTGCCAGAATATTTTATTTTATTAAGATGTCACTCTTTATAACGTGCTTTTTGGACTCTGTATGTTCCTCAACAGTTGCATGATGACACCTATACAAACATTTTTAAAACGTAAAAATTTGCGAATATTTTAAAATAGTCTCATTCTACAATTTCCTCACAATGAATTCATTCATTTGGATAAGAATTCCGTTCATAGACATCAAAACCACAAAGTCCATACCGTAGGTCGAATTGTTATAATTATCCATCCACGAACGAACCACGAAAATTCTTTTCACTATCGATATATCAGTTATCAGCTTCTTCTTTCTCCATTATCTCAACCAGGATAAATTTTCAGTAAATTCAGTTATTTATAGAATGTATGCATCCTCTGTAGGTTTACAAATTCCAATGGTCTGTAACTTTGCATTTTTTATTCAAATTATTTTCAGTTTTGTATATGAATACATTTTATTTAAATTTCCGATAATAACTGCCTTGATTATAATTCAGCTTTTTATTATTTTGTAACCCTTTCCTTCTCTTTGATTTGTGGAAGAAAATTTACCTTATTATAAACTATCAGTTATCAATTAATTTAACTATTAACCATAGTTTATATCTGAAACCATATTTTAAGTAATATTAACAATTTAATCTAATAAACATAGAAAAAATAAATAAACAAATAATACATTTTTGAATGTATAATTGAAGATATTGTTTATCGAGCATAAAGTGGTCCGAAAAGTGAGTTAATCACTGTAGACTAAATTGTAATTAACGAACTAAATTAATAAAAAGTACAATTAACGCATTTCTATTCTATGTTATGTTTCTATTAAGTTTGTAAAAGAAAAATACTTTGCTTTAAACTTAGTTTATGATTCATAATCAGAGGTGTATCGAGAACATGTGGTGAAATGACTTTTGGCCATTAGTTATTCGAATTCAAATGTTAATTGAAATTTAAAATTGAGTGATGTTTGCTTTTATTGTGTTTATAGAACATTCGATATGTTTTATAATATAAAAAATTTTAAAAATTTATTAACTTATTATTTCTAACAAAAATGGAATGTTTTAAACTACGTATTTTTTTGTAACAAAGTTACCAGATTGATGATAATTTCAGGGAATTATAAATAACATGTTTACAGTTTAATTTTTTTTATTTTATGAATCACATTATAAATTATCTAAAAATAGATTTATTTTATTTTGTTATTAAAATTTGATGTTTATACTATTTATTTTAGTTTTCATTAAATGTATTCAGTTTTTATTTATATTTTTCTATCAAATTTTAAAGTTTTGATTCTGAATCCATAAATCAGTGATTTTATTTATTCAATTTTCGTCACGTTACCTATTGATTTTTGTTGGTTGTAAATAGTCGTGCTGCATAATAAAAAGTTTCGAACTAGGTGACAATTAAATAGTTTGAAACGTTTTACAATGAATTCAATTTGATCGATGATTACATTTAATGATGAATGCAATTAATACATTATTTATGTGTATATCAAAAATCTTGTTACATAAATTATACAGTTATTAAAATATATGTCGATTAAAATAATTATAAATTATTATTATTATTATTTGTAATTTTAGGATATTAGTAAAATATTTTTTTAAATTATTTTTTTAAATTTGATCTGTGTATTGAAATATTTTGAAATTTTTTCAAATTTATTATAAATTATTAATTTGTTTTTTTAAATCAGTAACTTTCAAACTTTCAATTTGCATGAAATCTTTCCTAATAGGTTTCTCAGAACTTATAAAAAGCTGATTTTCAAATTATAAAAATGAAATATTTCAATCTTTATTATCATCATTATCACTGTTAAAATCACTCTTTCTACTTCTAGTCTACCTTTTTATGCTAGTTCTTCCTCTATCTTTAATGCTAACGTATATTTTCTTACAATTCACTTCAAGATCTCTTTGATTCACTTTCTTTTTCTTTTAAACATTATGTCTATGCTTTTAATTCTCTCTATCTTCTTTTTAAGTTGGTTTCAACTGTTTTCACAATACCACCAAACCTTTTGCAAGTCTACTTTCCCAAAGTTATAAGTAGTTATGACTTATATCATCTATTTCTAGATTACTTGTAAATGAACTACTTCTGGCTATATCTTTTAATGTGACCCCATTTATTTATCTTAATATCTTCGGCTTAGCTATCTGCATCTTAATCTTTTTCTTTTTTATATCCAACATCCCAATCCATATAAACAGCTGACCTAAATATAATTCCATAGATGATTTTATTTATAAACTTTAAACCTCACAACATAAATTTATTTTAAAAAATTAATACAAAAAATACGAATTTGATATGTTAATTATTAATGTTGTCAAAATAAAAATTCTATGATAAATTAATGTGCTTATGGAAGCTTTATAAATATTCTATATAATCCCTGTACTATTCTATGTATCCCTGTACAGAATTACTGTAATTTCGTGAAACAGTGACGAAGTTTGAATGTTATTACTTTTAATTATAAAAATATTATATTTGATATTTATTGTCATTAAGTTATATTCTTACATGTGTTAAATATAATTTTAAAACATTGCAACGTTTACGAATGGATAAATAATTTTAGCGATATCATCTTTACTCAGAAGCAACTAAAGTTTCTGTGACGATAGATGAAGGAAGAGGATTTGCAACTAGCAGTTCCTTAACATTGTATCCTAAATTAGAACAGAGTGGAACCACCTATACATGCGAAGCTCTGCATCCAGCTCTAGAGAAACCACTTAGAGCAACCATTTCCGTTGGAATTTTGTGTGAGTAATTATATATATATATAATATTTTAAATGTCGAATAAGAATAAATAAACAAATTCAAATTTAACAATAAAAGGCATAATTTCTATCTCCAATTGAAGTATAGCATATGTATTGATTTTATATATGTTTGAGTCTATATCATATTTAAAAAATATTTAAAAATTTGAATTAAAAGTTTAATAAAAACTAAGCTAAAAAAGTAATATGTAAAAGTAATATGTGTTGGAATTTTTAATTATTCACAAAAAAACCACTTAAAAAGAATTTTTTGACAATTTAACGCGCCTGCTGCGATGTTCTAACTCTGACAGTTAACAGAGGCCAAGGATCACTCAGAAGATGCATGTTAACAAATTGTTTTTCCCCCATAACAAGAATCCCACTTCCTGTTTTATAGTCAATCACTCACTGCATAGTAACATTAAAATGCATACAATAAAAAGAATTTGTTAACATGCATCTTCTGAGTGATCCCTGACTGGCCTTTGTTAACCGTCAGAGTTAGAAAGACATCGCAAAACTCGTTGAATTGTCAAACAACAACAACAACAACAAAAATCTTCTAAGGGATTGTTTGAATAAAGACTTTTCATTTTTATGACGTTTATAAGGCTTAGTTTCTTTATAGCGTTAAAAAATAATATATTTATTATACTGTATTTCATAAAAATTAATTCATGACATTTTATCATTTTTGTGAATATGGTTTGGTTTGATGGGATAAAGCAGCACAATACAGGACAATCTGCAAAGGGATATCTCCTGGGAGGGAAATTTCTAGTGGAAACTAGTCTAACACCAAACGGACAACGGGTTATTTCCGGATGAAAAACAGCCCGTTGGCCAAGAGCGAACAGCGACCAACTACCAGTGTTCAGTGGTTTTATTCATTCGGCCACTGGTAAGCTTCGTGAATATGTATTAAGGGGAAATATCTAATATTATCAACTACGACAGATGGAAAGAAAGTTGAAAAATTCGATTTATCAAATATCTCTTGCCAACAGAATTTTTGAATAGATGTCAATTCAGTTAGTCGCATCAGCACTGAATTTAATAGTAAAGTAGAAGGTAGAGAAAATTGACATATACACACTTTGTGTCTAGAATAATAATTTCGTGAATCATATATTATTTTCCAACAATTTTCTTAAAAGTTTATAATAAATTTGATTTTTAAAGCATATTGTATACTGTAATTTAGTTATTTAAAAGTTTTCGTCACATAAAGTATACATCTTTTGATAAAAATAAATATTTGTTTTAAATATTTACAAATTCTATAATGTAAAATGAAATAAAATATCATATTATATAATTTATTCTAATTATTAAAAATTTTTTCCTGCTTTAATATTATTTTTTATTCTATTGATTTCCGTTAAGATTATATAAGGAAAACTTTGTATTTAGAATTATTAATGTTATACACGTTAAAGTTATCAAAATTTCTCATCGAGATTTAGAATAGTTTATTAAAAATTTTAGAATTAATAGATTTTATATAAGTTGTTATAATAAAATTCAGTATTTAAAAACTATATACGCATATCCATTCCCTTATATGTTTAATGATACTTCTAGACGTAATCTCCTCACATACATTTTTTGATGGACTTTCTCTTTAAACATTGACATATAATAAAAAACTGTTAACTTATAATTAAATATGAAGATTATATATAATGAATCGTTTCGCCTTTTCAAAGTATAACAATTTTTAAAATGAATAAATCCAAATAACCTGTTATATAAAAGTAATTTTTTGAGTATCGTTTGTAACTATTCACATGAACCTTGAAGATTGTAATTTTTAATAAACATTTACTATATATTTATTTATTTATAAATATATTTATAAATAAATATTTAATAAATATTTAATAATATTTAATAAATATNTAACAATTCGTTACGTATTGTTAGATTATATTTCTAACAACGCGTGACGTGTTACGATCCCGTCGTGTTTTTACGTCACGTGTTATGTGAAAGCGTCAATCAGTTTGAAATATTTCAAAAAGGATTATTTTATAAAAATAATATTTATTAAATATATTTAATAAATAAATAAATATTTCATTTATTTATAAATATATTGTTTATATAAACTCTGGAAAATATAATTACAGTATTCTTTAATTTTGTATTTGGTACTGTGTTTTATTGTACATTTGTTACTGATTTTTATCTTTTATTTTAGTTTGTTATATGGGGAGGTTTTTATTGTCTAGAGACATCGCCTTGTTATAATAAAAATAAATAAAATATCTTAGTTTTTATTGACATAAATCTAAAAAGAATAGCTTTGTAGAAATTTCATTTCTTTTTGAAATTAACTTTATAAAAGACAAAATAAACAAAAAAAAGTTATTAAAATCACTTCTCTGTTTATTATCTGTTTGTTTATAGGCCATTATCTGTTATATCATTAATAATAATCTTGCAAAATTTTCAAGTTTTATAAAGTTTTTATAATTTGCAGAAACATTAAGTTAAGTATTAAGGAATTAACATTGTTTACTTTCGTAAAAGAAAAGTTTAATATGATAATGATAATTTAATTCAAATTATATATATATTATTCTATTGAATATCACATAGATATTTCTGTTATAAATAAAAAAAATTTTATTATTGTGGTAGATTTTGTGAATATTAAATTGGTACAAACCAATGCTTACCAATTATAATATATATTATAATATTGCATATTCATTTTGATTTAAATTCCTTTAAAAATATATTCGCAACTTTCTTCAGTTCACTATGAGACATTTTAGAAATATTTTTCATAAATTCAAGTGATTAGTACCAGTCGAGAAACATCACTCAATTTAAATTAATAACTCGTAGATAAAAACCCGTATTGAAACAAACTCGCAAATAAAAAACAATAACAGTAGTTGTTGGAATTATTTACAAGACTTTCAGCTGTTTATTGATTATGCTTGTCCTTTTATGCATGAAATCAATAGAGTAACTGAAGTAAAAGAGTAATGATAACATATAAACGATTTAATAACTCAAATTATTTAAAATATTTAATCAATTTATGTTTATTATTAAATTTATCGTGATTCATCTTATTTTAAATCTAAAACCGTTTCATTCTCGGAAAACATTTTAAAATTATCTTTAACCAATTTAAAGTGGATTTTAATACAAACAACTTTTAATGTGCATTTGTTGTTTCCTTTAATTTACAAACAAGTAATGCAGATAACATCTACTCTATCAATTTTAATTAGATTTGTTATTTCGAAGTCTAAATACGTCTAACTTACATAAAATGGTCAAATATTACTTTCCTCTTTAATTAAACAACCTGAAAGAATTTTTATTTTTTTGTAGTTTCTTAATTATTTGTTAAAGATAAATTCTCGAAAATAATTTTTAAATGTTTAATTTTAATATCCTGTAGGTTTTTACTCTAAATAGAACGAATTAACGAGTTTCACCACTAAGAGGAATTTTCAGTGGTCGTATTATAATTTATAATAAAATTTCATTTCAAGTTTTGTTTGTTTTACCTTTATTTTATAAAAATGAAGAATAATTTATTTAAATTTGTGTATTGTTTTTAAGAGAGGATGATAATTTTAACTGTAAAAACTAAAGGAATTTTTTATATAAATGTAAGAGAATATTATTCTCGATTTAAAAATCGTAAAAAAATATTTCTGAAATTAAAAAATTCAACACATTTAGTAATTTGAAGATTTTTTATTACGAATGTTTTTTATACTAATAGTATTCTATTGACTCTATCAATGTATTCTATCAACTATTGATAGAAATTTATTTCATACATTCTATACATATAGTGGGTGATCGGTTAACGAACATAATCCGTTCCAAGACTTTGTTCGCTATCCGAGTTGTTCGATTATCGATTTACCATAGGTTTTAATGGGAATTTAATTAATTCGTTCTGGAGACCCCAAAAATAAATATATATATACTTTCTTACTACGTTATTTACATGTAATAATAAAAATACATATATACATAGTCTTGCATTTTTATTAGTCATGTTTTTTCCGTTTGAAAGAGTTAAAGAATCTGTCTAATGTCGATTGCTTTTCTCTCTTCTTCAGGATTTTTCGTAAGTAATTAATAGCATTGCAATTGTAGAAATAACCAAGCCTCGATCTGGTTTGGATGCCATTCTAAGACCGTTACTCTGACATCCTCCCACTTTTTAAAAGGATCTTTAATAACAGATATTGGCATTAATCCTCTTTTTCAGAAGAAAACATATCTCGCCGAGTTTCTTGGTGTTCTTCATTCAAGAGTTCTTGGCGTTCTTCTGTCGTCAGATCCTTTTCAGGTTCCATTATGAACTATTTGATGTTCTTTATTTCTCAGATGTGATTTTTGTTACTCTTTACCTGCTTGAGTCTTCTTGATTATACAGTATTTTTCTTAAATAAGATTGAACTGCGGCCTACTGTTAATGTAGACCTGTTCACACCGTACTGCCCAGCAACATTAGGCATCTTTTGTCCACTCTCTACCTTTGCACCTTTCGAAAAGAAAAACAGATGCAAAACTTAACGAGTGCCTACCCTACATCTCGCGAATACATAAAAGAATTGTTTCTGTCAGAAAAATAAAAGGTTGGAATTACAAGAGAGAGTTTCAAAGTTCGGAGGAATACTATCCGATCAGTATATACCGGATTGAGCGTCGATGTCGACGTCTCCCACACTCCGAAAACTTTCGAATTGTTGCCCGAAAACAAGGGAAGACCAATCTGTATTCATTATTTTACGTTGCTTCTTCTTGTGTTTGTACTGTGGGGTGTTCGTTATCCGATCATGTGTTCTTTGTCCGAACATAAAAATCTTTCGCGAAAATGTTCGTTGTCCGATTTGTTCGTTAACCGATCACCCACTGTATTTACTTTTCTGCCCTACGGACACTAGACAACCTATTTACCACAGCCATCATGGATTTAGGCCCACTATGGGGCGGCCTGGTGGTAAGTTACATGGTCCAACATGTCCGGGACAGGTCATTCCCCTAAAAAAATTCTTAGGGGTTTTGAAGGCCTGAATTCGATTCTGTTTCCACAGAGTGGTAAGCCTTAAACTTTCTCGGCCATCCGACAGTGCTAAAATATATTTAATGGAAGTATTGTTTTTTCGTAAAAAAGTGGAATGAATTGTCAGTAGGAAAAAATTTATTTACAGTAAGTATTATGTTAAGAAATGTAATCAAGAAATAATAATGAAATTTTATTTCTATTATTTTCCCAACCTTTCTATGTTAATATTAAATATAAACATAGAAAGGTTAATATTTGATGATAGTCTGGATTTATTTTCATATCTTCACTCCGTTTTGTTTTTACAAAATTTGTAAAGTGAAGACATGAAAAAATAAAAAGTTGAAAATTTTCCAGACTGATATCAAATATTTTATGAAATTATTGTTATATTAATAATATTTTTAATTAATTAATGTAATCAAAATAGATTTCTTTTAATTAATCCATTTTGTTTTTTACTTTATTAGTTCCTCCAAGTCCTCCAATAATTCAAGGATATCAAGATGGTGACGTTGTACAAATTGGAGATATGATAGTTCTTATTTGCATATCTCGAGGTGGTAAACCAGCTCCACGAATCATTTGGTACCGAAATGATGTCCTCGTAGATATGACACATTCGAGTACGGGTTACGAGACAACAAACACTTTCACATTTACTGCAGGAATCGAAGACAATAATGCTGTTTTTCGATGCGAAGTTTCCAATGCTCTTACAAAGGAACCAATGAAGAAAGCAATTACTTTTAATGTATTCTGTAAGTATCAAATACGAAAATGAAAGTATTGCGTAGATTATTTTTATTGCCTAATTTATATTATGTGTAGTATAAATTATTCTAAATACATGTAACTCTCGATTTATGCAGTTAATTCGTCCATAAGTACACGCATATTTCGAAGCCTCACATATCGAAGTTCTGATTTTGAACTTCGATATGTATTAATGGGAAATAAATTAATTTGCCTATTAAGAAGTAGTCTGAAATCGTAATTTTTGCATTTATGTTTTTTTTTTGGCGGACTAAAACATGAAATAAAACATTTTCCAAATTTTAAAACGTACTAAAGAATTATTAGTTAATTTAAATAATTTAGTCAAACTAGGTTACATTCTAATTGCACACGAAAATCAAAACAAATTGGAAAATAACATTAAATATTGATTAAGGCGAATTTTGACTAACTACTGAAGTAGCCCTCTCCCAAAAAACACAAAGTAAAAATCTTTAAAAATCAAGCAAAATATTTGTCACGCGTCGCTTCTATTATTGCTGCCTTTTCAACTTCACAAAGTTTTCTGTAGAAGTTGAAAAATTAAAACAACTGTTTGCAAAAATTACACTAAACGTTGAAATTACAAATTAATCTATAGTAATAAGAGCACTGTATTAGGAAAACTAGAGTTTTTTTTTTTTACTAACTAACGGCAAGCAGGAATGGAGAGAAGTGATCGGTTTAGTGGTACTAGATCTCTGTTCTGTCGAACTGGAAACGTTGAAATTCGGTTAATGAGGATCTCTTCTGAGGCCCATATTAACCGAAATCCTTACTGATCGAAACCGTATGCATAGTATTGATGATTTCCTATAGATTGTATATGAATTTAAATTATATTAAATAAAGAAGAAAACTGATAAAAACTTACATATTTAAGTAAATTATGCTCCCTCATCAGATAATTATTGTGTACTTGTATTTAATTAATTATTTCCAATATTAATAGACTTGTATTTATTTATTTTTAATAGTGATATTCTAAAATTTAAGCATGCATTATTCGGTTTTCTTAGATTCAGTATAAATTAGAAGGTTCAAATTTCTATTTAATATTTCCAACGAAGTAAAACGATTGAAAAATTTTTAACTTTAAAAAATTATCGCTAATTATATTAGATGTGGAGAAATTCAACTATGAATTGGTTATAATCAAGCATTTGTTAATTAAAAGTAATTTCGTTTTTGGTTTGAGAAATTGCTGATAATTTCTTATAAAAGATACTATCAAAACGAGTTTTGAAAGCTTCATTTACACGAAATATCTTCAATTTTAAGATTAGAAAATAATTATTAATGAAATATGCAAAAATTATAGTACTGTATATATAGCTTAGGTATATTACAATAAAATATTTTATATAATATGCTTTTTATTTTCATGATGAATGTTGTTTGAAAATAATAATTAAAAATAAATTTTAAGGCTTTTTCTGTGTAAATGTGCATGATAAAATTTAAAGAAATGCTAATAATTTACTAAAACGAGTTTAAGATCAGAAATATATCGTTTATGTTGATATATTACTAATTAACAAAATAGCCATAATTTAATTAAAATTTTTATTGCTATTAATTTATTTTATCGATTTTATAAATAAATAAATATGCATACATTTAAAGACGTTATTAAATCGTGATTCAAAATAAATTTATGTGAGAAAATATCAGTTTGAATAACATTTTAGTATAAATATATTACTTAAAATCTTAATACAAAATACATATATGTTGTAATAATAATAATCATTTTTTAATTTTTATATATACTCTTAATTGTTATATTGTACTTTTAAATATTTAATTAATTTCTTAAAAACCGTATTCCTCATAACTTTTTTATTGGAGAATATCTTGTGTTTAAATTGTCATTGTTTTTATAAAGAAACAAAATTTTAAATAATTTAAGATAATTCTAATTCTATTTAATATAGTTATTCTTTGAAAGGAATAATTAGTAATTAATTAATTTTTCAAATCGATCGATAATGAATAATAAATTTAAAATCGTAATATCGAAATTTTTAATTAACATTTAGTATATGTATGTATTTAAAGAAATTATATTATATAAATGGGCCTATACCATAATACATAAAACATAAATTTGATTTCAAATAAGGCATGTTGTATGAACTGGTATAGGCTATTTTTATGAAAAAATTAATAATTCATTGCATAAAATTTTCGAAATTTTATTTATGTAATTTAAAATTCTATTTTATTTATTTTTTTATTTGGAAATAAGAGAATTAATTTTATTTGTCAGATTCTCTCTCTCTCTCTCTCTCTTTTCTTTTTAATTTGTTATGAAATCCGATTGTTATGCAGCATCCTCAGTATTTTCTGATATTTGATATACATTTATTGATTCTGGTTCCAACAATTCCTCTTCTATATCAAGTTTTACTTATATCGATTCAATAATTCGTTCATTTCAGTAAGTCCAATCTCTGATTGTTTGCAAAACTCGATGTTGAATGTATCCAAATCGTCTTTCTTGTATATAAAAGTGAATTATTCAGACACTGGTCTTAATATTTATTGTAAGAAAGGTTGTCAGAATAATAAAACCAATAAGAATCTGGATAAACTAAAAAACATTAAATGAATTCATTTAATTTAGATTGTGTTTTAAATCGAATTCAGTAATTAATATAGTTAGATTAAACAAAATCCAGAATAATATAACGGTTTTTGTCTATTTTATAGTAAAAGAAAATATCAAAATTAAATTTATTTGAAAATGTTTTAATTTTTTGAAACGATTAAATTTAAATTATAACAATCAATAAACTAACTACATTTTCTGTTTCGTAAAAAAAATATTTAAAATACATGTTTAAAAATTTATCTTAAATAATAATTTAATGTTTATTATAATTTCTTCTTTTTTCTTTTATTTTTACAAATTTAAAACCGTAATGTATTGAAAATTTGAAGGATTATTTTTAGATTTAATTTTTTTTTGGATAAAATACTAAGTTACTGTGCTAAAAAAAAGAAATCATGTCAACTACAGCAATCAACGAAATTTAATTTAATAATATATTAAAAAAATACAGGCATATCAAATTCTTTTTCAAAAATAATTACATTAAATATAAAATAAAAAACAGGAAAAACCTGAAATTAATATCAGAAAGAGATAGATTAATATTTACTTTCAGAAAATATATTAAAGAGACTTTTTTTAAATTCTTATTCTTTGCTTCACGTAAATAATCTCTACTGTACTAATTTAAGAAAAAATTCCTTTCGAAAAAGTTTTAAAGTTTTGTTTTTATTAAGAAGGTAATTTTTGATATAAGAAATTTTTATGGAACCGATCTAAAGAAAAAACAGGAAAAACCTGAAATTAATATCAGAAAGAGATAGATTAATATTTACTTTCAGAAAATATATTAAAGAGACTTTTTTTAAATTCTTATTCTTTGCTTCACGTAAATAATCTCTACTGTACTAATTTAAGAAAAAATTCCTTTCAAAAAGTTTTAAAGTTTTGTTTTTATTAAGAAGGTAATTTTTGATATAAGAAATTTTTATGGAACCGATCTAAAGAAAAAAATCTCAGTTAATGTTAAAAATAAATTGTTCTTTTAAAAAGCAACTTTATTTTTTTACATTAGTCAATCCGAAGAATTTGACAATCATTGGTCCAAGTGAAGCTCATCTGGGAGAGACCATCACGCTTCGTTGTCATAGCGACATCAGCAATCCTCCTACACAACTTTCGTGGGTTGTGAATAAAAATGTCGTCAGATCTGTGGAAACAGAAAGTTTTCAGACAGTTGATGGATGGGTGACATCCTCCAATCTCAGCATTACTATCAACAGGCAGGTAAATTCTTAAATTTGACTGAATGACCAACATCTATATGAAAAAATCTTTAAATATTTTCTTAAATACAGTTCTATCGATAATTAAAAATCTTTATATACTGAATTTTTTTCAATGAAAGCAATATAATAATTTTTGAAATTTGGAAAAATATTTTATTTGAAAATTTTTTGTTATTAGAGAAAATTTTATCAAAAACTATTCTCTTTCTTTTTAAGTTTCATTCGTTTTAATTTTCTTCTAATTTTGGTAGTATTTGAGTATTTTGATTTAAGATAATCTTTCATGCATTTATAATTTTTATGTCATAACTAGCAGTTTCGCGGCACGATTGAGCCGCTAACATGTATATGATACAGTCTACGTTTACATTTTTTTATGTTGCAACTTAGATTGTATTTTATATAGATCACGTGTTATAAATAAAATTATGATTATGATTGGCTATGTATGATTTTTAAATACTTGTTTCTCTCTACATATATCGTATACATAGAGAACCATCTGCGACTAACTACGAAACCGTAATTATCAGAAAACTGGTTTTGAAAATTGTACCAATATTCGATTGCCTAACCAAACTTTGCTATTTTATGTAATCGTTCGTAATTTTATTTATCTATGGTTCCAAATATGATCTCAAATAACCCTGTTGAATATAATAGGAATACTCTATTATTCAAAAGTGCAAAATTTAGAGATTTAGAGTTAGTCACATATGGTTCTATACTCACGATATATATGTATATATCGTGAGTATATATATAATTTTTCAATTAAATCATAAGTTTTCTAAATTAGAAATAAATAATAAGTTATCGGTAACCGTATTTTAGTAATCAAAGGTTTAGTTATTATTTATATACAGCAAAACATTTATACAACTAAATGAATATCAACAAATTTAAATATTTAACATTAAAAGGAGGAAAAAGAAAAATTTATCACAAATGTTTATAGAAAGTTATCGTCCACTTCCCATTTCTTATTTATATACTGTATACGGAAGTTCAAAAAATCAGTTTTCTAAAAACTATCGTCTTTCAAACCTTAATGTATCAATAAAAAAGTTTTATATCTAGAATTGAAAATGCCATAAAATAAGTTAATTATTTTATGTTTAAAAGTACGGTTCTAACCTTTCAATATAACTCTAAGGTTATTTATTGATAACTTTATAAAAAGTTAGCAAAAAAGAAAAGCAAACAAATTAACTTCCAGTTTCATTTATATCAACTCTCAACTATACATACTTCAGGTCGAATGACCGAGGCGCTATTTAGTTATATTTGATTTTTATAGAAATAAATAAATGTCTATAGAAACGTGATGACTCGCCCTTAAATAATTATTAGCACATAATAAAAAATTCCCAAGAACCACATCATGAAACTAAGTAGAACATTGATAAAGAATTATGTGTCTCCTCACATGTCCAAGTCCGGATACATTCAGAATTTTACATTTGTGGGTTGACTCAGAAATTTCATCTTTCCCTTACCATCCACATCGCTGCTGTAGACCTTACTGAAGCAATAATAATTATGAAAAGAGGTATTCTTGGTATCCGTGAGATAAGAAGAGTTAAAAAATTTCGCAGATGTTTTAAAATATTGAGTTTAGAGATATCTAAATTATTAATATTTTTCACAAAGTGTACATAAAATCACAACAAAGAGAACCTTTAGGTACAGATGGAGATGAATTTACCAGGAATTTATGCATGACCTGTCTACATGGGTCTCCCTCACCACCCAGTCGCCCCATGAGGTTCGAACGACTAAGGTATTATCCTACCGTTTTGTAGACCCTAGTACGAATCCGGACGGGTCGAAAAATCTAGAAATTTTTCGGGGAGGTGATGCATCCCAGATGAGACCCATGCCTCACTGTCTGGTCGGTCCTTTGTGGGCTTACCGAACTTAATTAAAAAGGGTCTCTAAGTGTCATTGGGTGGAAAAAGTAAAAAATGGGAAAAAAAGCCTCTACTGTACATACAGAAACCAGAAACCGTCATTGCCAAACGTTAAATAATCTAGACTTTATGAATAAAATGCCTTTATTATAAGTAATTTAAAATCTAACACGATACTACATAGTACTTTTAGATGTGTTGAAGAAAGAATAACATTAGAAGAGATTTAATTAAAAGAATTCCTCAACCGCGTCGTTGTCAGATGAAGTCCTTAAGAGGAACGTGAAATTAGGTATACGGGACATCGATCATCATTTCCACGTGTAGAAATATTTTCGGTTTAAAAAGCGTAAGTGTTATATATTGCGATTTTATAGATACCTGTCATAAATAGAAGACAAGGGAATATATTGGATTTCTGGATATGGAAATTGCGACACAAATGTACTGTATAAATTGAATCATTTCAATTTATTATAATAGTCAATTACTGGTGTGTTCCCTGTGTGATTAGTTCTCTTCAGCAAAATTTAGGCTTATCACTAAAGAATTCACCAGGAGAACATGCAAGAAGTTATTATTACGTATTTGCTGAAAATTTCTTTATCGGTTTTACATATTTACATTATTTATATTAAAGTATCGATTCTTTATTTTAAATTTAACAATGACAATCTCTAACGGTTCAAATGCAGGGATGGAGAACCTTTTTGAAGGTTCTGTCTATCAAATTACACGAACTTTATTATCTTATTTTTAACTGTAACAAACTTTATTCGTGTAGAGGATTAGAGTTCGAAAAAAACTTTTAAGAAATGAAATGAACATAGTTTAACTAGAAAATCATTGAAAAGTTTATAAATCGAACTGATTAAAAAACTAGAAATAAAAACTAAAATTAGTATAAATGGAAATTAAATCAAATAATTTTGATATCATTTATATGATATTTACTTCGTCGGAATGACTTTTTGCTCGTATTGCATGGCGTAAAAAAGTATTTTAACCATAGCGTCAGAATTTCAATTATTGCGTAATTAACAACGATAATAATAATCAAAAATAAAAGGGATTTGTCTAACAATTAATTAAATTTTTGTATATCAGCAGATATACCNGGAGGAAAAAGAAAAATTTATCACAAATGTTTATAGAAAGTTATCGTCCACTTCCCATTTCTTATTTATATACTGTATACGGAAGTTCAAAAAATCAGTTTTCTAAAAACTATCGTCTTTCAAACCTTAATGTATCAATAAAAAAGTTTTATATCTAGAATTGAAAATGCCATAAAATAAGTTAATTATTTTATGTTTAAAAGTACGGTTCTAACCTTTCAATATAACTCTAAGGTTATTTATTGATAACTTTATAAAAAGTTAGCAAAAAAGAAAAGCAAACAAATTAACTTCCAGTTTCATTTATATCAACTCTCAACTATACATACTTCAGGTCGAATGACCGAGGCGCTATTTAGTTATATTTGATTTTTATAGAAATAAATAAATGTCTATAGAAACGTGATGACTCGCCCTTAAATAATTATTAGCACATAATAAAAAATTCCCAAGAACCACATCATGAAACTAAGTAGAACATTGATAAAGAATTATGTGTCTCCTCACATGTCCAAGTCCGGATACATTCAGAATTTTACATTTGTGGGTTGACTCAGAAATTTCATCTTTCCCTTACCATCCACATCGCTGCTGTAGACCTTACTGAAGCAATAATAATTATGAAAAGAGGTATTCTTGGTATCCGTGAGATAAGAAGAGTTAAAAAATTTCGCAGATGTTTTAAAATATTGAGTTTAGAGATATCTAAATTATTAATATTTTTCACAAAGTGTACATAAAATCACAACAAAGAGAACCTTTAGGTACAGATGGAGATGAATTTACCAGGAATTTATGCATGACCTGTCTACATGGGTCTCCCTCACCACCCAGTCGCCCCATGAGGTTCGAACGACTAAGGTATTATCCTACCGTTTTGTAGACCCTAGTACGAATCCGGACGGGTCGAAAAATCTAGAAATTTTTCGGGAAGGTGATGCATCCCAGATGAGACCCATGCCTCACTGTCTGGTCGGTCCTTTGTGGGCTTACCGAACTTAATTAAAAAGGGTCTCTAAGTGTCATTGGGTGGAAAAAGTCAAAAATGGGAAAAAAAGCCTCTACTGTACATACAGAAACCAGAAACCGTCATTGCCAAACGTTAAATAATCTAGACTTTATGAATAAAATGCCTTTATTATAAGTAATTTAAAATCTAACACGATACTACATAGTACTTTTAGATGTGTTGAAGAAAGAATAACATTAGAAGAGATTTAATTAAAAGAATTCCTCAACCGCGTCGTTGTCAGATGAAGTCCTTAAGAGGAACGTGAAATTAGGTATACGGGACATCGATCATCATTTCCACGTGTAGAAATATTTTCGGTTTAAAAAGCGTAAGTGTTATATATTGCGATTTTATAGATACCTGTCATAAATAGAAGACAAGGGAATATATTGGATTTCTGGATATGGAAATTGCGACACAAATGTACTGTATAAATTGAATCATTTCAATTTATTATAATAGTCAATTACTGGTGTGTTCCCTGTGTGATTAGTTCTCTTCAGCAAAATTTAGGCTTATCACTAAAGAATTCACCAGGAGAACATGCAAGAAGTTATTATTACGTATTTGCTGAAAATTTCTTTATCGGTTTTACATATTTACATTATTTATATTAAAGTATCGATTCTTTATTTTAAATTTAACACTGACAATCTCTAACGGTTCAAATGCAGGGATGGAGAACCTTTTTGAAGGTTCTGTCTATCAAATTACACGAACTTTATTATCTTATTTTTAACTGTAACAAACTTTATTCGTGTAGAGGATTAGAGTTCGAAAAAAACTTTTAAGAAATGAAATGAACATAGTTTAACTAGAAAATCATTGAAAAGTTTATAAATCGAACTGATTAAAAAACTAGAAATAAAAACTAAAATTAGTATAAATGGAAATTAAATCAAATAATTTTGATATCATTTATATGATATTTACTTCGTCGGAATGACTTTTTGCTCGTATTGCATGGCGTAAAAAAGTATTTTAACTATAGCGTCAGAATTTCAATTATTGCGTAATTAACAACGATAATAATAATCAAAAATAAAAGGGATTTGTCTAACAATTAATTAAATTTTTGTATATCAGCAGATATACCAAGCACTGCCCGGGCAAAAAGTAATAAAGAAAAACATTAAAATAAAAATCATGTTTATCACGAAGTGTCAAGAAACTAAAATATTGGGGAAGGGTGGGGTGTTCAGGATTCCTGATAGCCTATATTTTTTCAGGAGTCTAGAATAACTGTGAAAAGATAGCTACAGATCAGTCGAAATGTTTAGAACTAAATAGCGAACAGACGAACAGACATTCTATTTTATACATATAGATTTATGATTTATAATTGTAACTGTCACTGTACAGTAATAAGTGTACGAAATAATACGACGTGTATAGAGCGAATTCCTCTGGTCACTTTGGGCATGAGTGTCATAAACAGAAGGAATATCTCACAATGTCAGTTTATACTGAAGAGACTAAAATACAGGTTTAAAAATCTGGGAAATATAATATTCATTAATATTATCGAAAAAGAATCATGATTCAGAGGATTTTTATAAGATTGATAGCATTTATATTTAAAATATATTACAAATATTGTCATTGATTTGTGTCTGCCTCTCACAAAAAAGTTTACAACCTTATAATTTTTTCATTTAAAATAAGACTTTATCAATCAGTATTTTATTCATTTTCTACTTTATTATTTGTTTTTATAGGCCTATACAATTTGCTTCACATTGAGTCGAAGGGTCGAATGCAGACAATGTGCGAGAACGCAGACTAATAATTTCTGTATAAATGTAGGCTATATCTTCGTTTATATCATGGAACAATGGCAAAAGTAGTTTCGTTAGAAACGTTTTACAAGATAAATCATTATCAAATATATATATTTCATTACATTAGAGATCATTACAGACATATTTATGTAGATACTTATTATTCCTCATGCCAAGAACTAGTTTCATAAATAATGAAATTCCCATTGTTGTGTGCCCCAAGTTATGTTAAAATGAAAGCTTCTGAAATTCAAAACTTTTTATCATCTTAGGATTTTAATAACTAAGTTTTATCTTGCTCTTGTAACAATAATCAGATACAATGACAGCTTGTTGACTGCTTCTTAAGATTAAACAAAAGCAAAATATAAATAACCAGCTTATTTAAATTTTACTTTTGATTAATCTTAAAACAAAAAACAAAATTAAAAAAGTCTTATATTTTTTTAATTCAGGATTTTTAATTTGAATCTACTAAATTAAGATTTAAAATATATATTGGTTTTTCAAATACTAATGCTTTATGTACTGTACAAAATAATGTCGACATCATTATATTTATTTTCTATATTCATGTTTGTTTTTACTTACTTTATCATTTTTTTTTAAACTGATAAAGAATATGAGAATATTTTTTCAATAAATGTTAATTATTTAAAAACAACATAATAAATAAAGTTTCAAATACGAAAAATTTAAAACATAAAGTTTAATCCTTGAAGATATAAATTTTATCAGATATAAAGTGTTAACAAAAGTTTTTGATATTATATTTATCTACATCTACTGTATTCTATATTATTAATTAAGATTGATATATAAATCTTATATTATTTTTTATAATAATAGTAATAATAATAAAACAGGATGAAATTACCTATTTGACAATCTTGTTTTATATTTGAATTTAAATAATTCGATTTAAATAAAAGATTAAAATTTTATACCGGTATAATTTTAAACACGTTGTTGTTTAAACATTGTTGTTAGACTGTATCTTTCATTATTATTAATAAAAACATTAAAACCGTAAAGAATACTAAAAAGTCTAACAACAATTTTTTAAAATTGTTGTTAGACTTTTTAGTATTCTTTACGGTTTTAATGTTTTTATTAATAATAATGAAAGATACAGTCTAACAACAATGTTTAAACAACAACGTGTTTAAAATTATACCGGTATAAAATTTTAATCTTTTATTTAAATCGAATTATTTAAATTCAAATATAAAACAAGATTGTCAAATAGGTAATTTCATCCTGTTTTATTATTATTACTATTATTATAAAAAATAATATAAGATTTATATATCAATCTTAATTAATAATATAGAATACAGTAGATGTAGATAAATATAATATCAAAAACTTTTGTTAACACTTTATATCTGATAAAATTTATATCTTCAAGGATTAAACTTTATGTTTTAAATTTTTCGTATTTGAAACTTTATTTATTATGTTGTTTTTAAATAATTAACATTTATTGAAAAAATATTCTCATATTCATTAACAAATACTTAACACCTTAATCTTGCCGAGAAATATAATTTACTTGAAACAAACTTTGTTTCAAGTAAATTATATTTCTCGGCAAGATTAAGGTGTTAAGTATTTGTATATGAATATGAGAATATTTTTTCAATAAATGTTAATTATTTAAAAACAACATAATAAATAAAGTTTCAAATACGAAAAATTTAAAACATAAAGTTTAATCCTTGAAGATATAAATTTTATCAGATATAAAGTGTTAACAAAAGTTTTTGATATTATATTTATCAACATCTACTGTATTCTATATTATTAATTAAGATTGATATATAAATCTTATATTATTTTTTATAATAATAGTAATAATAATAAAACAGGATGAAATTACCTATTTGACAATCTTGTTTTATATTTGAATTTAAATAATTCGATTTAAATAAAAGATTAAAATTTTATACCGGTATAATTTTAAACACGTTGTTGTTTAAACATTGTTGTTAGACTGTATCTTTCATTATTATTAATAAAAACATTAAAACCGTAAAGAATACTAAAAAGTCTAACAACAATTTTTTAAAATTGTTGTTAGACTTTTTAGTATTCTTTACGGTTTTAATGTTTTTTAAAATTTAATTAATTACGGATTTTAGAATCTTTTAAAATTGTTGTTTAGACATTTTGAATTTTAAAAAGTCTAACAACAATTTTTAAAATTACATAGCATAGAGTCTTACTGTTAGAATATAATTTGATATAATTTAAAATTAAATGAAAATGTGTATAAATATATTATATATTTATACATACATATATATATAATTATTGTCTCCATGGATTTCGATCTACAGGAAACTCAACACTAATCTCCTTATAGAATTGTGAAAGGGTCTTAAGTATTCCACTATGATGTAGTCAACCTTGGAAGAATTGCAGACATCCTTCTTCAGTGCAAACCAGAATGTAAGAGCCTTATGGTCTTTTTTTGCCCTTAAGACTAACTCTTATTTATGTGCACTTTCTATTTATTTTATGTATTTTTATTATATATCTATTTTTCTGTATTTATTTATATTGTATTTTTATCATGCATTTTTGTATTGTATTTTGATTCTTTATTTTTTTTAATTTTGATTTAAATTGTCTGGCAATATGCTCTANTTTATTGTAAGTAGTAACATTTGATGAATATTAAAATGATCACTATTTTCAATAAAAGAAATGTGTTTCTTGTACCATTGATTTCTGATATCCGCAGTACAGATGGCTACAAAGGAAAATGTTTCATAATCAATACAAGCAAAGAAGGAAAATATCGTATATCCGAACTGAAATCTTTAATTTTACAAATCGTCCGTTTTAATTCGAATGAGAAAAGTTTATCAAATATTTTTATGCTAAATTCAATTCGTTTTCAGATTTATATTTTGATATCAATCTATTTTATCAAATCTAAACATTATATAAAATCCTCCTTTAGTTTTTTATTAAAAATTTCAAACAACGAAAATAAAAGTCACTAATATATTCTAAAGAAATTAATTTTATATTCTAAAACTTAAATTTTGAAATATAAAATTAATTGAAAATAAAGTAATTTTCTTGGAGAGCTTTTAAAATGTGTTAAAATCTCTCAAGCCTCTCCAAATTTGAATAAATTGTAAACTTTATATTTTGAATATATTTTAAATAATAATAAATTATTATTATAAGTTAAAATGACATTATTTAAAAAACTTTGTGAATGTATTTTTACAACTCAAAACAATTTTAATTTATTTTCTTATAAGAATAAACTTGAATAAATACATCCTTAATTTGATAAAATATTAAAGTTTGATATTATCAATTCTAAATTATTTTTCCTTAACAATATAGTTATTATTGAATCATTCTGTAATAAAAATAGTGATAAGAGCATCTGTTTCCCTATTGATTCCTCATAAATTATTCATATTTAGTATTTTCATTATATTATTTAAATTATGAAGAAAAAATTCTGAAATTTTAATTAAATAAGAAAATATGCAATTATTTGAATTCGTTCATATATCAAACTTTATTTTTTTAATGTTTCTCCATTTATTCCTCTTTCGATCGATGTTATCATTTTTTCTAAATGAATTATATTTACTGAATTGTGACTTTATTTTAGTTTTTTTATGAAGATTTTTTATATATAATTTAAATTGTTTTTATCTGATAATTTATATATTTAAGTAATTATAATTTATTTTGCCGATGTTTCCAAATTAGCTTAAGTATTCTTAATATGAGTTCTTGTTAATTAAACTTGTAAATTCGGTGATGAATGTTCCTAAAACGGATTTCACTTAATCTAGGATGTTACTACGAAGATTATTTCCTGTTATGGTTCTGCAACTCCTCTTCGAGCTCCTGTAGTCCAGACTCATACTATAATCATTAAGTGTAAGTATACGATAACCTTTCATAAATGTTAATTTAATGACGTTACTAATAATGTTAAACGATAAACGTTATTCAGTATTAGCATCCGTCAAGATTATAATTTACGAATAAGCTAACTAATTTGATATTTAACTTTTTGCCTGTAAAGATGAATAATGTTTCTTAATGTACTTTTATATCGTATTTTTATTAATATATACTAATTGTTTAAGTTTTAATATATATAATCTACTGTATGTCATTATGCAATATAAAATCTCAATGTGAATTTTATTTTAAAGTTAGAACTTAATTTTTTATTTTTTAAAATACAAGACTTTTAAAATATGCATTTTTTAAAATAAACTTTGTCTAAATTTAAAAACATTTAAATTTTTTAAAACTTCTAAACCGTAATGATATTTTGATTTAAATTTTTCTAAAATGTATATACGTGTTATTTTTTAAATTTTGATATTTCGTCTTTCATTTATGTTAAAATTTTGATAAATGTTTTACAACTTAATAAAGTTTTAAATATATTTTTATCTTAATTGATTTATTTTATAAAAGTTTTGCGGTAAAACATTTAAACAAAGCTTTTAAATATAAATTATTTTCCCGAAATACTCAACTTTAATGTCATTCATACAATGTATGGTTTATCTATGATCTATATAATAGTTCAAATCAGTAAATGTAATTTTAATTATTCAAATATATAAAAAAATCAAGCTTGCATAATTATTTTAATCAAATATATCTAACATTCTTAAATATAAAAAAACTTTACGCGCAAAATTCTTTTTATATTCATATTTCCCATTTTAATAATGCAACAGTTTTTACCATTCTTTTCTTCATTTTCACTTACGTCATTTTATTATCAAGCCAATTTTGTTGCCTTTCCTTTTACTTAACACTTAAACTGGTTAAATCTAAAACAGATTTAGTGTCAATGAAGAGGTCTCTTTTGTTTGTATCACTCGATAATTGTGTCGGAAATTTCAGATCCTCCAGAATCATTGACTATTCTTGGATACGAGGAATTAAGTGAACTTAAACAAGGAGACATTCAACGTCTAACATGTGTCGCTCTAGGCGGTAATCCACCAGCCAACCTAAAATGGTATAAAGGAGGAAGAGAGGTGAGTGTCGATCGATAGAGTCTGCTAACTTTCTTCTTTGAATCTCGGACATTTATTCATCATAGCCTATACGCTAAACTAAAAATTTTAAAAGCATGTCTACAGGGAAAGCTAACAGAAGATATTGAGATGAACGTAAAAAGAATAAAGTTAGAAGAATTTCTCTTAATTCAAAAAGAATATTTCCCTTTCATTTAAATTTGATGAAGAACAGGACATAGACTTAATCAATTTATCAAAATATTTATTAATGGAAATATCGAATATAAAAATATATTCAAAAATTATATCTAAGTTAACTATTAAAATATAAATATAATAAATAAATTAAATAAATTCCAATATTAAATTTAAAATGATAAAAGTTTAAATTATTTAAAGCCAAAAAGCAAGTAGTAGTATAGACTATATAATCTTAAATTTTCATAGCTTAATTATTTAAATAANATAGTTTAGAAATTCATAATTGGGCATAATAATAGTAAATAAACGTACTGATCTTAAACGTCAGTAACTTATTGGACTTTGTCATTTTGATAATTTCTAGAAAATAACTGGGTCTAAACCGGGTTCATATTAAAAAATTGAGTTTCATCTTTTAATTTTTCGTTTTTTTTTTTTTTTTCATTTTAAACTTCCTGTTATTTTATGTTAATTTTGCAAATAAAATTTTTATTCTAAAAAGCTAACTAATTTATTATACCAAATTTAAAATTTCTGAAGTAAAATTTTTTAAACTATTTTTAATATTCAAAAATCAAAAAGGATTAGAGAATTTTATCATTTAAGCAATCAACTTCTGGAGGCAGATTAATGATTTAATAAATTTCATATCAATAACGGTTAAGATATGATTTAGTACAGAGTTATATTTTATTTTTCAGATCAATGCTTCTGTATCTGTATCCGGAAATGGAGTCTCCAGTGAGTTGGTTTTCCGCGTTGATGCCAGCGATAACAGAATTACTTACACTTGCAGAGCACTGAGCCCTGCCATTACTCAACCTTTGGAAACGTCAGTTATTTTAACTGTTTATTGTAAGTAGTAACATTTGATGAATATTAATGTACGAGTCGGAATTTTCGCAATTAATTCATAATCGCTTAAAAGGAAAAGTAATTAAAAATTCTCACTGGTCATACGTCTTCCTTTTAACGTGATTTTTGAACTTTAAAGCCAATTTGCAAATTTATATAATATAATTCTAAGTTATTGACAATTCTGATTTGTTAATTAGGCATTTCGTAATTACCTCGGTTACTTGAATACATAAATACTGCATAATCTGATCTACAAATTACATTCGAACAAACACGATATTTAGCCATTATACCCTTTTCACTAATGTTTGTTATACAGTATAATATAAAATTACTTCATTACATCGACCAGATTAATGTTTCTGTTTGAAAATAATGACACTAATATTGTTATTTCGTGACCTCGTAAAACATTTTTATATTCAATAATAAGCTCGTTTTCTTTAGTTCTTAATTATTATTAATCCAACGAGTATATTTCTATTACTTCATGCAAATTTTCGATTAAAATTAAAACAAATAATTCGAATTGTTTAATTTATCTTAGGTTAATAAATACTAATACACACAAACACATGTATATATGTACTCCTATGTGACTATGTGTGTATGTATTATGATATATTATAAATTCAACAGTGTTAACATACATTATAAAATACAGTAGAATCTCGATTATCCGGACTAATTTGGGGGGTGAAGTTAGTCCGGATAAGGAAAAATTCGGATAATCGAAACAAATACTTTAATTTGTCTTTTAATGATAATACAACACGTTTTCTTTTCGATGACATATCGGTAATATTAAAAATAAAAACTGTATTTAAATCGTGATCAAATTTTCAAGAAACAAACGTTTGTATTGAATTTGGACTACTACTAACCAATGCTAACAGACTACCCATTGTTTAAAAGGCCCTCTGGTGGCGCAAGAAGACAGATTTTATAAAATAAACAGCAGTTGAAACTGCATTTTTATGAATAAAAATTTGACAAACTATTTATCGTTTTATGATGAGTAAAATTTTTTCGTCGCCTTCACGGCTTTTAAGTAATGCATAAACCTTCGAGGCGCTAGGCGCTTCGGACCGCGAGGCATAAGCGGTGGTCCACGTCGTCTATGCCTTACGTCGCCTTTGGTCATAGAAATGATGTAATTTGAATTAAATTATTTATAAATACGTATGTCAAGTTATATTTTTATTACGACGTAAAATATATTTAAGAGTTTACGACGACTGTGCTGGGTGAGACGTTGTTGAAACAAAAAAAGTTATGCATTCCATCACGTACAGTACATAAACAGTGTCGTAACTCGCCAAGTGCAAATCAGCAAATTCGTAAAATTTTTGTTTATTTTGAACAATCCGGATAATCGAAAATCCGGATAATGGA